AGAAAGAATGACATGTTCAGCCATGTTGTATAGACATGTGTTTACCCTCAGTAATACCCTTAATCAAACTAAGCTTAAATTGAAATAAACTTGTATGCCGTGCATGGTCTAAGAAAGTATGCACTGTACTGTATAGCAGATCTGATATAAGTAATGGTATAACGACACACACATTTGCTTCCATATGATATTTTTTACCTGTCTATATTCAGGTATTTCTGTAAAGCCGGCAGACAAGATAAGACTTGAAAGCTGGTGTGTGTGTGTGTGTGTGTGTGTGTGTGTGTGTGTGTGTGTGTGTGTGTGTGTGTGTGTGTGTGTGTGTGTGTGTGTGTGTGTGTGTGTGGTGTGTGTGTGTGTGTGTGTGTGTGTGTGTGTGTGTGTGTGTGGTGTGTGTGTGTGTGTGTGTGTGTGTGTGTGAGCTTTGCTCTCTGTCAGGAGAGATACACAACTAATGCTGGAGATGCAGTGTGTGCATGTTTTTGACGCTGATCATTCAGAATTTGGGATTATTATTATTATTATTATTTGGGATAACCAGGTTATACATTCTGGATAGAAATATTGCTACTGAGTTTTTAATGTGTTACTTTGGCTTTTTGCGCACCACTGGTCAAATTCTGTGTCGTCCCATTATATGCAGAGAATGCAGACGATCTATTGATTTAATAGAACAACAGATTAGAGGAAAAATCTTTGCCTTGTGATCTGAAACGTGTTTAACTGTGTGGGAGAGAAACTCCCTCTGGAGGGGATTCTAACCTCTGCAGACCATTTATGGCGCATTTCCACTACACGGCCTCGCTCGGCCTCGCTCGGTATGGCTAGGCCTCGTTAGGACTGGGTCACTTTATGGCGCATTTCCATTACTGTTTAGGAACTGGGGTAGTATCTATAGTAACGCAGTGTAGGCGGAGCCGTGACGTCATCTTCAATGAGAACCCCAGAAAAACAACACAGCCGTTAGCTGTTAGCACTCAGAGCTCACAGCTCCTTATATATGTTCAGAAACTAGACAAAAGTTAAACAAGTACAAACCACAGATTGTCTGTGTCATGGCGAATACAGTCGCTGCTTTATTTATGTCTGTATAGGCCGTTGTTGTGAGTGTGGACGGTCGGAGCATATACTGCGTTAGCTTAGCCAATCTCCATTTAGAAAACACGCATTTTAAAAGGTTTTTCGCCTGCCGTCTGTCTGCAGACTTGTCAAAGCATTAATTCATGGTTTTTACTAATCGGTATCAGTATGTTGTTACTTCGGCATCATTTTGAAACGTGTATTACAATTAAATCACGGTCAAATATGTTCATCTTGTTGTAGTTGTAGCCCCCTTGCCAGCGATTCTCTCTCTAGTTTAGCATACTCAGCCCGACTCAGCCTCGTTGTCTCTGGCCCTAGAACCACGATTTTATGGGGCCAGAAAAACTGTGAATTAGGACCCGCTACCCGGTACTAGGCCAAGTGGAAACGCAACCAAAGACGGGCCGCTGACGTCACAGCTCTCTTAAACGGGGCTCCGCGCTGTAGTGGAAATGCGCCATTACATGCACTAAAATCTAGAACACACTACAGGAAAGAGAAAAACCCAAAAAGCAGAATATGGCCTCTTGACAAAATAAACCAACATTGAAACAGAACCCTTTATACAAACACATTATAACAAACAAGACAAACAATTACAAAATCTTAATCTAAAAACAAAATAGTAATTTCATTTATTTAATAAACACACACACACACACACACCTCCACAGCACCTCTTTGACAGACACATCTCCCTCTCCACCCCTTCCTTGAAAACCAAATGTGAGCCAAATATTGTGATAACATCCTGTTAAACTCAATGAAACACTTGATCGCTTTTTGGCTTGTGACTAAAATGAGCCTATTGCACACGAGGAAGTGTCAGGGTTGTGTGTGTTCTTTTAAAAAATAAAGCTTGAATCACAAATATATCTCAGGGAGATTGGCAATCTAGAAACGTGACACATTCCAGTAAATAACAACAATGGGGGTGGGGGTGGAGGCAGTAAACAGCATGAGCATGGAGTTATCAGTGGAGTCAGGTTATATAATGAGTGTGTGGTTAACCAGCGCTGAGACCTTATTATTTGGCTGGTAGCCAACACGCTGATGACAGAGATGAATGAAGTGCCTGTGTCCATCACATGACCGTCCACATGTGAAAGATTAGCATCAGACTCAGGACTATTGGATTGGTTGTGCTGACATTTGTTGAGCTAACTGATTGGTTGCTCATCAGAGCATGTCTTTTAGAGCTGTATTGTAAAGATCAAGAATATCCCAAAACATTCTTGTGACAGCCCCATCTAGTGTCCGTGGGATTGGTGACTATTTTCCATCTGAAGCAACGCTTTTTTAAAACTTCAAAAGCCATGATGACCCAAGTCCACTAACCTTTCAAGATCCCATCCCCATACCACTTTGGGATGTGTGCCTCCAAGAAGAAAAAGGACCATGTAAGACACATTAGTGGGGTTAAAGTTGCATCATGACACAGCCTCTACAGTGACTCTCTCCAAACTGTGCAAATGGAAATGCCACTTGGCTGTGTGGAGCTGAGCTGGGCGCTGGCACTGGAGGAGAGCATTCAGACTGCATGGCAGTGGCAGTTGCAGTCCCTCACAATGTGGCCCTTTGTGTTGCATCTCCAATGTTTCAGTCTGCATGTGTCAACCGGACATGAGGAAAACCAATCAAAGCTGATCTTTGTGAGTTCTTTTAAAATGCCACAAGAAAAGCAACGTTCAAAGATGGTTACATTAAACATACTTTTAAAAGTGCAGCAGTGTATCTATAACAGTCTTCTGAATAAAAATGTCCTATAGTAAGCTACAGTATTGAGCAGATTGAGCAGATGTTCACTGACACAGGAGGACTCTCAGCTCTGAGGTTACTAAGGTTACTGAGAGGGTCTACTCTGTCACTCTGTTTGCACAGATTCTGCAGTGATGTCAGCTGGGTAGCCGTGGCTCTGCCATGATGTGCCATCTCAGGATGTGTCAACGCGTATACATCAGTGTTTATGTAAACTACATTTTGTTTATGCAACTCCAGCCACTGTGAGATTTTTAGAAACTACATTTGGTGTGTTGCTGTTGGTGCCGTGAAATGTAAATGCACACTAAATGTAAATGTACAGTTAATATTCCACTATGGTAAAGAACAGAGGTGTCCCAATGTACTACTAAGGCTACTCCAACAGACCTGATATGTGTGTGTGGGTGTGTGTGTGTTCCACTTTGAAAGCCCTTAATTGATTTTAGGTTTTCATCTGCAAAGAGATGTGGACTAGAGCTACATTTCCAGCTGGTACACCCGACATAATTATACAAAATAATGAATGAGGTTCTTCCCATAAACGCTGTCTACTGCACTCATCTCATTGGAGTCCAGTTGGCTGCTTTATTTAATTACTTTTTTAAATCAAATCAAAAAGTTTTAATTAAAAAGTTGATATGTGTTTATATTAAATTAACATGCATCTCCAGTGAAAGCAACAGGACAATTGCACATCAGCATGGAGGGGCCGCAGTGTGTGATGGTGTGTGTGTGTCCAGCCTTATCTCCTGTGTACCTGTCTTGTTTCAGTCTCTTGCTCTGCCATGTGTTGAAGCCTACTGCCGCCCCCCCTCGTTGTCCCATCATTAGCCAAACATGAGCTTCCCTCCTGCCTGCCTACTCCAGATGTGTACAGCTGCATCTTATGTGAGTCGTAAACACATTTTATTTCCATGTCCTGTTGCTGTACTGTTGCTTTTGCATTTGGGTCCCCCCCCCAAAACCTCCCTGCCTCCCAGAGCAGGCTGTCCTCAGTGCGGGGGTCAAACCCCCTGACCCTGCTTGTCAGACAGAGCCTGTCTCAATAAACATGTTTGTTACAGTGTGTGCTGTTTGCTGGGTTGTGATCATTCAGACATTCAGTAAAGCTCACAAACTTTAAAATCCTCATGGGACAGAAGCTTTAAAATCTAACATGGGGATGTTAGCCATGAATTTAATCTGGAATCCTCCTCTCATGTGTTACTGTGTAGTCAGTGCACCCTGTGCTCAGCTAGCCCAACACACTTATGTTCTTTAAAAAAAAGAAATAGCAATCTTTATTTAAAACAACCTTTAGCTGACTGAAGATCTGAGGAGACATATACATGTTGTGTCTCGTCAAATGTGTTAGTTTTGTTTATGTATTTTGTCTGTCATTTCCTGTTTTATTTTGTATTTACCTCTTGTCTTTCATTTCAGGCTCTGTTTCTTCCTCCCCTGGTCTCTCCCCTGTCCTGTGTCAGTTCGTCTTGTTTGTTTCCCCGAATGTTCGTGCCAAGCCTCAGCTCTGAAAGGATCGCTTTTCACTCATGTAAGGTTTTGTTATTTTTGTTTATTTTTGTTGGCTTAAGTTTTTATTAAGTCCTCTTTTTGTTACGCTTTCTCCTTGTGAGCGCCTTTTGTTATTTCCATCCACCCTACTCTGTTAAGAGGAATGACCTGAACTGTGAAAAATAAATATACTTTTTTTTATATTCAAGACTTTGTCTCTGGGTCGTGCATTTGCAGTTTGTGTCAAGGTCCTGACAATACAGACACTAACGAACAGCTGACTGGATAAATAAATCAAATCAAATTATACAACATAACACATTTTTTAGATAATCAATTTTCCCTCATCTCATTTATTTAAAATTGCATTTAAAATGTCTTTGTGTTTCTTCTTTTTTTCTTTTACCTCGCTATTAAAATCTCAGCAACGCCCCTGCAAAGAGGAATTAGGAAAAGCCTACCCCTCTGAAACACACACGCACGCGCACTCTAACACGCGCACAGCCAGTGGGCGTGTCCTCCTCCAGCTGGAGGATAGAGGCGGCGCTGCACCGCGCGCCTTGGACCGGTATGGCCGTGTCTGCGCTCCGACCGGCACACACACTGAGCTCACACACACTGAGAACACACTTTGAGAACACACTCTGAACACACACACACACACACACACACACACACACACACACACACACACACTGAGCCGCTCCGCTCCATCACTGCTCCGCGCGCCTCTCCGGGACTGCCGGATACTGCTGAGCAGGTAGGTCTCCGTCCTCTACTCTGAGAGCATGGCATGCTGTGTGTGAGGAGGCTGGGGTGCAGCGTGAGTGTTTGGGGCGGGATGTGGCCGCTGTAAGCCACAGGTGTGCCGGATAAGATCCGTGTCAGTAGCGCGTGCTGCTGGGTCCGCTGCCACGGACTGAGGGCTCGCGCTCCGTAAACTCCATCAGCGCGTGGCTGCGGGCTGCTGAGCGCTCTGTCAGGACACGACTTCAGGGCAAAGGTAAGTGGAGCCGCGGTCAGCGCGCGCTCATGGACCGGTGCTTGAACCCCCCGTGCTGTCTAACACTCAGTTCATCTTGCAGTGCCAGTATTGGGCTTTCAGTTGGAAATCAAATGCAATAATAGTTTAAATACCAGCACAGCTCCTGGTTCGGATCTGCTGAGGGGGGGCAGTCTGCACCGGGAGACTGAGGGCAGCTCTTCCTCTTCATGCTGCCACAACTGATCTTTATTTTTGGGCGCGGACATAAGCCACATGTTTATTATAAGCTGTGCTTCTTGCTGCTCCTCTGACATGGAGCGGCTCAGCTCTCCTCCTGCAGTCTGAGCCCTCTGCAGGCTCCTCTCCCCGGGATGAAAGGTGCTCTGTTAGTGCTGCTGCTCCACAGGAAACACTGCACTGTGCACAGTCTGCTCCAACAGGTCAGTGGACCTTCCTCCTGCGGGACGATGCTTATCACATGTGGTGTGTGTGTGTGTGTGTGTGTGTGTGTGTGTGGTGTGTGTGTGTGTGTGGTGTGTGTGTGTGTGTGTGTGTGTGTGTGTGGTGTGTGTGTGTGTGTGTGTGTGTGTGGTGTGTACACGTGTCTGTAGATCAGGAATGCAGCAAGATGTGTTTCACAGGTCATGAGTACAAAGTCTCCCCCATGCAACCCAAAGCTGCTTTCAACATATCGTCTATTTATATATCTGACATCAGTTTTTCAATCATGTTTACTTCCTGATAATGCTGTGAACAGAATTGGTGAACGACTGGCATACAGGGGTGGAATATCGATGTGAGGTGGTACATCGAATTAAGTAAAAGTAGAAATAAGAAATACTAGTTGTAAAAGACAGTCCTGCATTAAAAATTGTACTTATGTTAAAAGTTTTAAAAAAAATTCCATCAAAATACACTCTAAGTACCAATAGTATACTCATTATGCAGAATAAGCACCATTCATTTTAAATTGTTGTATTAAACTAATTAGGGCATTAATGTCACTTCAATGTTGCACTTGGTAAAAGTGGGCTTTCTTTGAACTACTTTATATACTAAAGAGCTTAACTTATATAATATATGATCATGTTTTATTTGATTTATATTTTTGTGTTAATAACCTAAATATGCAAAGTAAGTAACTCAACATGTAAAATAAATGGAGTAGAGTACAAATATAAAGTAGCACAATGTGAAAATACTCAAGTAAAGTAAAGAACCTCAATTCTTTAAGTACAGTACTTGAGTACATGTACCTAGTTACATTTCTCCACTGCTGGCATATTATATTTCTGAACAGTCAAATTGAACATGTTTTTCTGTAAAAGATAACAATGTCAAGCTTAATGCGTGGAATGTGTGTGCAACTGTATAAAAATACCTCTTATATATATATATATCGCATAGCCCAGTATAAATACAATAAAAGTTAAGATATTTTTGATTTGGTAATATTTAACTTTGCTGCTGTAGAGCATTTTGAAATGATTCTATGGTTAACTCTACAGCACAGTATAAAGCTGTCTTCACATCTCTATTGTCCACTTTAGCATTTCCATAATGATAGCTCCAAACATGTGCCTGTAAGCACTTCTCTTTCTCTGCCGTTTGCTGTGGAGCCTGGTGTCTCCGCTGACAGAGTGTGTGTGTTTGTGATGACAGAGAGTGTGTGTCTGTGACTGCAGAATGTGGGGACTGTTTGGGCTGAGGACATGTCTGCGGCTGACTGCTGTGTTCGCTCATCACCTTCAGTGTTCTCTGGAGAGGAAGACATGATGATGAGGGCAGAGCAGTCTGTAACAAGCAGCAGGAAGAGTGGCAGTTGTGATGATAATGAGGAGAAGGATGGGTACACAAATAGTGGAGGCTAAAATAAGTCAATACCAGCGAGAACATATCTGTCTGGGGCGGACCATAAAAGTGGAAAATGTGAAAGGTGTGTAAGGAGGGAGAGAGTGTGTCGCGTTTCATCTACAGCTGAGTTGCACAAGCTGTTGCAAGGACTGTGTGTGTGGTGTGTGGGTGTGTGTGTGTGTGTGTGTGTGGTGTGTGTGTTGTGTGGTGTGTGTGCGCGGTGTGTGTGTGTGTTGTGTGTGCTTGTGTGTGTGTGTGTGTGTGTGTGTCTGTGTGTGCTTGTGTGTGTGTGTGTATGTATGTGTGTGTGTGTGTGTGTGTGTGTGTGTGTGCTTGTGTGTGTGTGCTTGTGTGTGTGTGTTGTGTGTGTGTGTGTGTGTGTGTGTGTGTGTGTGTGTGTGTGTGTGTGTGTGGAAGATATAAATGTTTCTATTAAAGATTTGCATCACTTATAAATGTGCAGCTGCTGATGTGTGTGATCTGCAGTGACTGGTCTGAGATCAGCTCATACACTCAGCCTTGGGAGAAACTGAACTGCTCTCCTCTTGAGACTAGAGTACAGTCTCCAAGAAACGCCTGTAGTCCAGTGGCAGGAGACATGCAGGACTCTCTGTAGAGGTGTTATGCAGCAGATAATGGCATCTTGACGTTGGACTCATGTTACTGCCACTATAAAGTGGCGCTCTGCAGAGTGCCACTATAAAGTGGCGCTCTGCAGAGTGCCACTTTATAGTGGCGCTCTGCAGAGTGCCACTATAAAGTGACGCTCTGCAGAGTGCCACTATAATGTGGCGCTCTGCAGTAGTGCTAGCTCGACTTCCCCGGTCACTCATGTGCAGTGTGGGGGGTTATGTGCTATCAGATTACATTTGTCTGTAACGCAGTCATTTAATGCGTTACTGTTGATTACAGTTAACATGACATGATGTTGATACTTGCGTTCATTTAAGATCTTTAACTATCTGCATAACAGGAGGACAGAAGAATAAATAAAATGTCCCTTTACGTTTGCACTACGCTCGCAAGTTCATGGATGAGGAGAGGAGCAGGAATGTCAGAGTCTCAGAGCAGAGATAAACTTCTCGCAGCGTACATCGTGCAGGACATGTTGTCGTTTCCGTGGTGGAATCGCCATCTTTCCGAAACATTGAGCAAGATACAGGTAACGGGCAGCCGCCATCAGAAGCTGGACCAGAGTTCTGATGAAACTGAGCTAAAGGAAACATGATGTTCAGACAAAGAGTAGAAACAGAGGTCTGTGTTCAGCACTGTCCTAAGATTAAGGATTTGTGCTGATCTCATGAGGTTTAACTTGATATTGTTATTTGTCATGTGATTCATGGTGCATCTCAGGTGATGTTACACAGTTATCTAAAAGTAATGTAACTAGGAGTGTATCTAATTACTTTCAGCAGTGAATATTTTAGTAAAGTAAAGCACTACTTTAAAAAAAAGGTAACTAGTAGTGTGTAATGCGTTTTCCTTTTAGTAACTACCCTAACACTGGTCATGTGACCCTCACCTCACGAATCCCCTGACGTAGCGCTGCTGTGCGCTCTTCTTAGGAGGACTGTAGCGTGGTGACAATCAGCTAGAGACAACAGGAGGAGGATTAGTGCTAAATATTGTGCACACACTGCAGATTGAAGGCACACCTGGCTGATCTGATTACACCACGATTGCATTACACCTGCAATAATAATTATGTGTTTTACTTTCTGGATACAAATTGCTATACCAGGTGGACAAGGGGTCAAAGTCAGGTCAACTGCTTGTCTTTAAAGCATCTGACTAAAAGGATCTTGGAAAATGGAGGGGCATTAAAGTGTCATTATCTCGTAGCCATAAGTGGATCTAAAGTGCTAGGTAGTTGCATAAATGTCTGTTTTGATGCTGTTGATTACTGATTGGTTTAAGTGGTTATCTTATTTAATCCACTTCACAAAAGCTTTGCCATCAGACTTCCCATACCTACCACAAATTAGTGTCAAAGCCACAACAGTTTGTGTCCCTGAGTCTTTTGAATGCGGCGGGCTAATTATATGAGTGAGGATGTAAATGAGCAAAGCTGCGGTTGAGTTCATTTGAATGCACCGCCGCTAATTAAGACCTGATCTTCAGTATGTCTGACAGCAACGGAGCACAACATAGAGTGTGAAAGTTCTCTGCTGCTGATCCTGATATGGTGGAAGAAGAAACCATCTACAAGCTGTCTTCCTGCAGGGAGGAAGTCGGATGATAGCAGTAAAATACTGAGAGGATTGTTATTATTATTCAAATATTTGTATTGATTTTCCACATATAACAAACAGCAGCGCTCAACATTCAAAAATACAGCACACACAGAAAGTATACAAAATATAAATTGACATCTAGAAGAGATACGTAAGATATAAGATATGTATATAGAAAATAAACATAGACATAAATTATTAAATTAAAAACTACATGGTTAAATAACCAAAAGTAAAAAAGTAAAAAGTAAAACATAAATGAATAAAAAACAATGTGTGTGGGGGGGGGGGGGTTGGCTACGTTGTTTTAATGTTAGAGAAGTCGTTCTCAAAGTAGGACAGAAATGGTTGCCAGACCTTATAGTACTTTGCGATAGAGCCCCGGGTAGTGTGCTTTAGCTGCTCAACTTTAAGATGGGACATTACTTCCTCTACCCAGCGCTTGTGAGACGGCGGTGCAGCCTTCTTCCAACTAAAGAGTATCAGACGTCTAGCAAGTAGGGTAGAGAATGCCACAGCCTCAGCCTGATCAGTTGTTATTCGTGTCTCCTGTGTGACCACGCCAAATAATGCAGTCAATGGGTTAGCATCCACAGCCGTGTTACACATGTACGAAAAGGTTTGAAATATACCAGTCCAAAAAGGGGCCAGTTTTGGACTGAGCCAACAGACTTCCCGACTGCACCT